AGAAACAAGGAAACCGTTCAGTTACTACAACTAAGAGCAAAGGTCTAAGTGAGATTGGGAACAAATCTGGAGAGGCTGCATTTGGAAAAGAGGTCCTCGAACTTTAGCAAGCATCAGAATCCCCGGAGGCCACTGGGCCGTAGGACTGGGCTGACCCCCGGGGTCTCTGATACTGATCATTAGACCTTAGAGCAGGTTCCTTGTCACATTGGTGAGGCCAGTCCAGGGACCAAACTTACGTAGGCACAGGTCACTTGGGGATCTTGTTAACATGCTGATTCTTTCGGTGTCTGGAGCAAGGCCAGAGATTCTGCATTCTCTGGACAACCTTCCAGATGCTGGCCCAGGAGCCGAGTGTCAGGGACCTAGAATTGGTTCCATGACAGAAGTTGAGTTTGAGATGCACAACAAATGATCCGGGCTGAGGAGACTAGAGAAGTCTCGGGCAGGGAGCCAGCCGACCCAATCACTCCTTCCACAAATATGGTGCCTACTGTGCACCAGGTGCTGTTAAAGTGGTGAGGACTCAGCAGGGAACAAAGCAGAGTTCTTGCCTTCCTAGAGTTTCACATTCCAGAGAAGCAAAGTCATGTTTCCCGCTCGCTCTGCCATCTCTCCAAGGAGCCTGCTTTTGGCTTCAATTTTTCATATCACAGTTTATCCTGAAGAAGGAAGAAGAAGAAGGAGGAGGAGGAGGAGGAGGAGGAGGAGGAGGAGGAGAAGAAAAAAGAAACATAAAGAACCAGAGAAAGTGGAATAGCTTCCGATAACTTCCATGTTATTTAAGAAGTCTAAACATTTCTTAGATGGATGAATACATTTTTCATAGATGCTCATATATTAATGTAGGCAGGCTCACTCTTACTTCCTCCAATTAATTTCTTTAAAAATGTCTTTACATTAAGACACACTTTAATGCTATTGTCACGTGGAGATACAAAGGGGCCCCTCATCTATCTAGGCATTGGCTTTTAAATTGAGGTGGTTCACAAATATGGGTCAAGACAGTGTTTGGAGGGTGTCGATGACATTTGAAAGGGGCCTGGGGGACCTTCCACTGCTTCCAGTTTCCTCCTAGGAAGTCTTGAGGAATGAGAAGGCAGCACCAGGTAGATGGGTAAGGTAGGCCAGGCCGTGAAGCTCAGGGAGCAAGAGCATAGATTTAAATCCTGTACCTGCCAATCACAAATTGTGAGACTGTGGCCAGTTACTGAATGTCTGATGCCTAAGCAACCTCATGCAATACAACCAACAAACCCTATCTTGTGAGGTGGTTTAGAGAAGGAGTGAAATAATTCAGGCATGACTCAGGGTACACTTCCAATCAACAGTAACTTGCTATCATATCAGGCTGGAAGTAGATCAGAAAGCCACACGGGGCAGGGATATTAGGGGGGGAGATACGGAAACCATGCACCAGGTTCAATATAGTCCAAGTTGTTAACGTTCTCTTTGGCCACCTTTCCAGAATGACACTGAGAAGACAATGGGAGAATTTGTTGGAAGAAAAAAAGCAAAGCACTAACCAGATTTTAAACAGGGCTGAGTTAGACTAAGGAGGGAAGGACTGCAGCCACAACTAGGGTGGATTCCCTCCGGCGATTAGTGGAATGGAATTTTACGGTAGAACAAAGGAGCATCTTTTGAATCTGCAGTGCTTTTAAATATGGTTTAAAATAGCAATACCCAAAGCTGGTGAAGTCGTCATGAAACTGCTGTTCCCATAGGTTGCCGGTGGCAAATTGGTGATAACTTTTAGGAAAGTAACTTAGCGGTGTGGATTAGAAGTTGTAAAAACACACAAGCTCTGTTTCACTTGGTTATTCTTCTTTTGGAAGTTCATTTCACAGAAAAAGGAGGACAATGCAGAAGGCGGTGGTTTTTATCACCTCCGTTGGAGAAGAAGAACACAAATCCCAGGAGGCAGCTCTAGCCGTCCACCTCCCTCAGCCTCTCCAGCACACAGTCCCGGGGGACCCAGACTTGCCTGGCTTGGGTTCCCCCCAGAGCTGATGGTTCAAGAGCCCCTGGTGGAAGCTCCTTAGCTTTTCTGATCTGTTCTTGAAAGTTGTGCAGGGTCCCGTTTGGCTGCATTCTTACTAAGATTGGCCCAGATTCAAGGGGAGGATGGACTCCATCTGTCAATAGGAGGAATTAAAGGAATGTTTTAAAAGTACAGTCATATTTGCATTTCTTCCTCACCCTATGGAGACCTTCCACAGTCTCAGGACCTCATCATGTCACTCAGGCCCAATGTAAATGAGAGTCTGATAAAGTATCTGAAGACACACAGACCCAAGAGGTGGAGAAACTACAGTGGGTGTTCCTATTCAGAAGAGGCAGGGATGTCAATAATGGTCAGGAATTTGAAATCCAGCTGAGCACAGGTCACCAGTTCTTGATTAAGGTCTGGTATTGTCCTTTGGGGATTGCTGTCCCTGGCTCTCAGCTCCCCTATCTGGGCTCCTGGTTGTCCTTCTGAATCATCTTTTCTTTCCCCAAATAAATGACCCACAAGTGCAGCTGAGCCGTTGTCTCATTTTGCTTCTTTCCCACAGAAGGCTGTGGATCCGGAGTCTTCTTTTCATTTTGTACTGCCTCAATCTCTCTCAAAGATGCTGATGCTTCTGCCAATATAATTCTCTTGAAAATTTTGTCTGTTTTTATAAATCTTATCAGAGTTCCCATTTCACTGGCCAAAGCCATAGAGGGTCTCTCCTCGATCTCCACCTCTCCTTAAGGCTGCTGAGGGGCAAAAGCCTTCAAAGCCTAGAAGGTTTATTATTTAAAAGAAATGACCTGCACAGCATGATCTTAAGGTCTTTAGATGCTGACAGTGGTCTATGCAATACTGCTTTACATCTTTCTGCAACCTTAAAAAGGGTTCAAGGTCACCCCTCGGGATGCTTGTGCCCCACGGTGGTCCTTTCCGGGAGGATCTCTGCAGTTGACTTGATCTTTTCTCCAAGGTCTTTTCTTTGCTGGCCGAAAATATCCTCAGTCGATTTATACTTCTTTTGAATTTCAATTGAAAATGGAATCGTTTTTTTTTTGTTGTTGTTGTTGTTTTAAAGTTTATCTTGTTTATACCTCTCTCTGCCCTCTTTTTCTTATAGGCAGCTAGAAGAAGTTGGGTGGCAATTTAAAAATTTCACTTGGAAGGGCTGGGGATATAGCTCAGTTGGTAGAGTGCTTGCCTGGCATGCACAAGGCCCTGGGTTCAATCCCCAGCACCACCCTCTTCCCCCCTCCAAAAAAAAAAAAAGAAATTCACCTGGAAATGTTCTTAGATCGTAGAGTTCATCTGGTAGATTTTCTGTCACCACGTCACTGCAGGTGACAGCTTTGCTGAACTTTCCACCACCACATAACAAAGACCTCCTTTCTGTTCCTTGCAACATTTCCTTCACTTACTTCAAGGCCTGGCTGGCCTCCTTCTCAAGACCTGTCAGTTTTCAGCCAACCGACCCAAGGCCCCTCTGGCCCTCCCCTGCCGTCCAATTTCAAAGCCAATGCCATGTCTTTTAGGTTTGTATTTTAGGAACCCCTTGTTTCCAGTTACCAAATTTCATTTGGGTTAATGTTGCTGTGTGAGAAATTGCCTCGAAACATAGTAGCTTCCAACCGTCATTTCATTCTGCTGGTAATTTGGGGCATCACAGATTTGAAAAGGGCTCTGCTGAGCTGTTCTCATCTGAGGTTACTCTTGCAGCTACAGGGGGTGTCAGCGGGACCCGCAAGCATCTGATGAGCTGAGCGGGTGAGATGCGCAGGGCAGCTCACCCCGCAGCCGGGAGCTGCTGCTGCCTGTCAGCTGTGAGCTGGGCTGTGCTGTCCGACAGTGTCCACCAGTGGACTCCCCTGCGCAGCCATCTCAGGACGCTTGGCCTTCTCACACGGTGCTGGTCCCCCAGAGAGCTCGCAGAAGCTGCGGATCCTCTCTGAGTCAGTTTTGAAAGTTACCCTGCATCAATTCTGCTGCCTTCTGTTGGTTACAAAGTCATCACCAAGTCACCCCTGGATTGATGACTATGGAGCGTAGACACCTCCTCTCCATGAGGGAAGTGGCAGGTAGGTACAGGTAGGTCTTTAAACTACCATGCCACCTAGTCCGCTCTCTCTCTAAGGTTCAGGGCCACAAGCAGAGCAGAGAACTGCCTGCATACCAGGATGGAGGTGACAGGTAGGAACGGACACGGGGGAAACCCTGGACGGAAGTGAGGACATTCGTAATTATCTTGTGATTCCAGATGATTTTCTCCACATTTTCTATCAGGAAAGAAAAAGGAAGGGAGACAAGCGAATGGCATTATTTCTTAGTAAGTCTAGGCCCCTGCTCCACTTTTCTCACAGTCTGTCTTGACAGTAACCTGGGACTCTCTTTAGACTGGGCTTGGGGCTGAAATGGGGCATTGGGAAGATGAGCAGCTGCCCATGGACGCAGCCTTACCTGTGGTGGGTCCTGTGGATGGAACTGTGCTTCAAGATTTCAACATGACTTGGAAGACCAGCTCCTTCCCGGCTGGGGAGAAGCCTGTGCTGTCCACTTCCTTGCAGCTTCGAGACCTCCCAAGTAGGTTCACTCACTCCACCCAAATCCAGTTCTTTTTGCCCCATGAAATGAGCAGGAGAAATGGGTCAAATAATAAACCCGTGTGACATCTATCCCAATAGAATTGCTGGCTTTCAGTCTCTCAAGCAACACGAAGTCAAGGTCATCCGGGAAATGGGGGTTACACACCCATTTCACCCTCCATATCTGACATCCGGAGAGCTGTGCGGACCTTCCTTTGCTTACACAGTAGGACTCAGACCACAAAACACATGGGAGGCCTGTCGTGGACTGAAGTGCATCCTCCCAAACTCATATGTTGGAACTCTAACCATCAATGTGACCACAGTTGAAGATAAGGCCTTTATGGAGACCATTAGTGTTAAAGGAAGTCATAGGCTGGCACCCTAATCCAATAGCATTGGTATCGTCCATTGTAAGAGGAAAACTGCAACCAGTTAGGCCAGCCAGGCTCCCTTCCTTGTTGGAGCCCAGAGTGTGATGGCTGTGAACAGCAGCCTCCTTGGCCGTGTGCCAGCCTGTTGGTACTGGTTGCTCTAAGGGGCTTTGGAGACAGTCCTTCCCAGAAGACGTCCACATCTCTGGTGTTAGAGTCTGTAAACAAGTCAAGATGGTGCCTGGCATTTTGCAGAGGGAGTGGTTTGTGAAGTAACGCCAGCGAGCCATTAAGTGTGGAGATTCCTTATTGGTTGACTGCTGTATCTAGTTTATGTTAATTAGATAAGCTGTGTGGAATGTATATATACCCCTCCTGTCCTACAATAAACGGCTCCCACTCCTGCTGTATCAATGTACACAAGTTGCTCGTCATCCCCCGGTTATTTTGCTGCAGCTGGACTGCGGCGTTTTGTAGGGAATCCACCCGGCTCTTCAAGCTCAACTTCATGCTTAACTCATAGTTCATGAGCCTCTGCACCTGGTGGTTGAAGATTTGTAAGAACTTCCCAGAGCCCCTGGAAAAAGTGTTTTGCTTAGTGGTTAATTGCCTGGGTTTTGTTGTGATCTTCCTGGTACAATACCTTGCTTTATAGGTTATGTGAGCTTAGTTAAGCTAGTAAACTTTTCTGGGTCTGTTTCCGTCTATAAAATGAGAATAATGATATAACATATTTGTGATTAGTGGAGTTTGAGGATAATCTGGCCTGTAGCTCATTGTCTCTAAGTTTGACTCCTTGGTAGAACATTTGAACCCTTGAAAAGAGACTGATTGAGTCCTTTTTCATCTTAGAACTTATCAGAAGGGCCTTGGCCTAGAATCTAAGGCACAGGGACATCTGGGGCTGATAGAAGCCCCAAAGTGTCCATCAGGGTGCAAGTTGAGAAAATGACCTACAAAGGATGTGAGAATAAGTCTAGATGTAAGATCCTGGTCTCTGATCCCACATGGAAAACAAAGTAGATGAACCTGGCCATATTTGGGATTAAGTGGACACCAGGATTTTAGACCTGCTGGAGATCAGACTATTGGTGGAAGTGAAGCCACCGGCAGAGGGTCATGGTTCACAGAGACACTGCATGACAGCAAGAGTCTATGCCCAAGTACTTGGGAGAAGGCACCCACAGGTGTGTGTGTGGGGGTATTTTCTGCTAATTATGTGTGCAGGGCCATGGATACAGTCCATTCAGTGGCCAGCCCAACACCTTCATTTGCTGGACCACACATGTGTCTAAACCCACCGGCGACGGTCACTTTATTAGCCACTAGAGGACCGTCAAGGACCCATCCAGAGGATGTAACTGGCCCTGGTGCTGAAGCTTACAATTACTTACGGAAGAAAGTAAATCCTGCTGCTGGTGATGTGGGAAATCTCCAAAGCCTCCTCATAAAGGAGGGAAGGGGTCATTGGCTGTCCATTGTTTTCCCAACCAACCATGGATTCCTTTTGATGGAGTCAGATGGAACTCTCAAAATGAATCTTTCTGAATTCTGGGTTTTGCTACTGGGGTTTGTTTAAGAGACCAGAATGGATCAGATTTTCTGGAGGCTTTACTGTGCCAGGAACTGACTTTTTAGTTTCTGAGTACTGAGGAAGTTTGTGAGGCTGCAGAGGAGGTCTGGCTGGCTGGCAGTGGGAAGGCCAGCAGTGGGCATGGTCAGTGTGGACTGATCAGTGGTATGGAAATATTCCAGGGTTCAAACAACCAGAGCAGCTGGGTACTGATGCAGGGGAGCCCTGCTGCACACAGCACAGATGTGCTTACCCTACCCCGCCTTCCTGGTGGGCTCTAGGTTTCCTGAACTTCAGCTGGGAATAGGGCAGGAGGGTAACACTGCTTCAGGCCAGGCTCTCTCCCCTGCCTGGGCAGTTCTTCCCACATACCCTCCCGTCCATGGGCAAGATCCTGGGCTGTTGCTCCTTCCTCTTCGAGAATGCAAACTGAGGCAGGTCCACACGCTCTGAATTCCTGCTTTAGGGCTGTGATCTGCCTTGCCTAAAAATAAAAATTTTTAAAAAAATTGACTTATTTTTAGCTTTAGCTCTTCTGCTTCTGGCCTGTATGAATGCTAGTTGATTCGTAGCTGGCAAATTAAACTATTTCCATGACCACAAACACCCATTCAGGGTGCCCACAAACTCAACCCACGGCCTCCTACTCCAAATCAACGAGGCTGACTCAGTTTCCTGCTGACTCACAGCAGCCCTGCTCTGTCAGTCAGCTGCCTCCACAGGCTCCATGTGGCTCCCAGCTGAACCTAAAAGCCCTGGGCATCAGAGCGTCATGGAGAGATGCAGGGAAAGGTTCAGCATGGATCCTATATCCCCTGCTTTGTCCTCATGGCCTGGGTCTTCTTGCGGGCCCAAAGAGTTCCAGCATGCACTCTGAATCAGGCTGTGGATGCTTCACCTGCTATTTGAGATTGAACTCAGGAAATCCAGCCAACACAGGGGCCGGCTACTTAGAAAAATGGGCTTCCAAACTCAGTAATGGAAGGAGGCAAATCCTATTGCTAGTGACAGGGAGAGTCACTTTAAAGGAGCTCTTTTATAATGGAGAGAAGAGATGATTAAATTGTCCTTGATTTCCCCGGTAAACCACAAATTCCTTCCTGTTGAGGTCAATAAAACTCTCACTACTGATCTTTTCGGGCTTTGGGTTTTGATACTGGGATTCTTTCAAGAGAACAGAGGGAATCAGATTTTCCTAAAGGAATATATTCACGTCTTAAAACCAACCTTCTCATATCCACCCTAGTGAATCTCCTCGAAAAATGACAATATTCACTGCTGCTGATGAAAAAGTTGATGATCTTCTAATAAAAACTTTCAATTCATAGGTGATGGAAATGCAAAACACTTTATCTGATGATAATCCTTAATTTTAATAAAATCTGTGGGCTCTGGGAATAGGGCTTACATATGACAAGCAAATGATCTCTCTTGAGGAAACAACGGAGAAATTTCAGAATCTATTTGTAATCGAACAAGAGAAATAAAACTTGCCATAACCACAGAACTCCTATCTTTACTTCCCAGAAATGAAGTTTTTGAGTACCCCCAATGGCCGGGCCATGGGCCTAGATTATGTGGTCCAACCCTGCTCTGGATGTTAAGTGCTTTGGGGTGAGATTGGGTTAACCTATGGGCTTTGAATACGGCAGAGGGCCCTCCAGACATGGATGGGCTTGTCCAATCAGTGAAGGCCAGAAGAGAAGGGAAGACTGACCCCACCCCGCAACAGGAGGGACTTCTGCAGGGCCTTTGGGTTGAACTGTAGCATAGGTTCCCACTGAATGGCCAGACTGCAGCCCCCTCTGCAGATTTGGGAACTTGTCAGCTCCCAAAATCATGTAAGCCAACTCATCAAGATGAATCCTTCTTTCTATATGCACATGCACATCTCATTGGTTCTGTTTTTCCAGATAAACATGATAAATGTGTTCCCCCCATTTGATTCCTTCCTCCCATTCCCTTCTCAACCTGGGCTCAACAGAGGAATTACCTTGGGAACCTTAAAAAACTACAGATGCCTGGTGCCCTCTTCAGGGTCTGGCTCGATGAGTCTGAGCTGTGGCCTAGGCATCAAGATTTTAAAAGCTTCCCAGATGGTTCTAAAGCACCGTTGAGAAACATGGCTTACAGTTCCTAGTGAAAAGAGTCTGCAGAAGAACTGAGCTAAAACTCTTTATTCTATTTCCTAATCAACCAGTTAGATCTCTCTCTCTCTCTCTCTCTCTCTCTCTCTCTCTCTCTCTCTCTCTCTGCTGCAAATCTCATCATCAGGACACTCTAGAGCAGGGTCATGATTTCTCAGGGATAAATTTTTTTTTCACCAATATAGAATGATAGCTCTTGAGGTCATGTTGTGTGACTTTGCTACTTTATATTTACTCAAATTCCAGTCTTCGAGAAGAAAACCATGCTTTTCAATTTCATTTAGAAGTTCTACGGCCCTTCTCTGAGCTGGCTAGTTAATCTGCATCTATTTTACTCCCAGGAAAACTGGGGCAGAAACAGATCACGCTTTGCACAGAGTATTTTCTAACAGCCATAACTGTCTAAGAAGGTAAAAAAAAATTGCCTTTAAAGAATTTCTTCCCATGGTGGTTTATGAAATTCTAGAACCTTGTCTGCACTACATTTGCGCATGTGAAAAACGTCAAACACATGAGGTTATCCATTAAAGCTCAGGGCACGGAAGAAAAGGACTGGAAACAACTAAGTGTCCGTCACTGGGGACAAGTTAAAGAATTATAATACATCCTAAAATGATATGCCATGCAGTCATAAAAATGAATGAGGCAGCTCTTCCTGCTGTGATATGGGATGATCCCGTAGCACACCAGAGCCAGCTTGGACCGGGTCATGAGAACAATGTTAACTTTGCAGTCGGTGACCTTACATGGCCACGGTCAGAGTCACTTCATGGTAGTCTGTAAATGTTAGAATCAGGGCCCTTCCCAGCCTTTCGGAGCTGGTTGTTAAACACTTACTAGCACACCACTGGAAAGATGCCTGAAGGCCATTGTCAAGTGAATAAAACCAAATACAACACAATATTCATAGTATGTTAGCAAATTTAAAAATAGGGAAAATTATGTGCACTAAAACCTCCTGGGGCTGGGGGTGTGTCTTGGTAGCAGAGCATTTTCTTGGGGATATGGAATACATGAGGTCCTGTGTTTGATCCCCAGCATGGAATCTATTTTACCGAAAACAACCTCCCAAGACAAAATTTTCTCAAATCGGGGATTCCTCAAAATTTAAACAGAATTACCATGTGATCCAGAAATTCCACTCATAGACATATACCCAAGCGGAATGCGAACAAATGACCACAGATGTTCATAGAAGCATTATCATAATAGACAAGGTGAGAAAGTCTCAGGGTCCATCAATGGATGAATGGAGAACAAACTGGAGCCTATACACACAGCAGACTATTTATTCCGCCACACAAAGGCATGAAGGGGTACATGAAATAAGCCAGGCACAGAAACACAGAGATCACACGTTTGCACTTACATATGTAAGTCGATTTATCCCAAAGACGTAGAGAATAGAATCGTGGCTACCAAAACCTGGAGCGGGCATGGAGAAGGCAGGGGTGGAGAGAGG